GATTGCATGGCCAAAGGCACTCAAGATCCCTGCCGGATGTCTGTGTCCAGGCAGCTGGTTCGACGCCTTCCCGCCGAGGCGTCTTCAGTGACAGGGCGATGTCTGTTCTGACAGGCTGCGGAAGTGCAACAACAAAGTTCAGAGAGTGGCCAGATATCTCAACTTAGGCAGCATTTGGCCATGCCTGGGCAAAGTTTGCTTGGCATCCGGGCGGATGAGCCGCTTGGACGTATTCTTGATTCTTGTCCTTCACCGGTTTCACTTGTCAGACATTGGGCGGCGGACGCCTTGGTAACTGTAACTGTAGCCCCATGATGCACTGCTGAACCTGCAAGTATCCTGAGACCGCTGAGACCGCAAGACCGGCCACTTCAGCGACGCATCTGCGGCAGCCTCTCGGTTTCAACGGATGCTGATTGCATGCTGGCCGGACGAGAGCTGACGTCGCTGACATCGGTTGACATGATCATTGTCAAATCATGTCAAATCAGTGCGCCAATGACCCGTTGAGACTGCGCTCTTCTGTCGACTCGAGGCACCCGTCCCCAGAGTCCCCACTCACTCCTCCGGCAAAGCCTGGGCTTGCCAATGGGCCCGCTGCTCAGCATGAGCCTTGCTGAGCCGCAGCTATGGCAAACTAACGTCACACGATGGGATGACACGAGATGCCTGGAAGTCAGCTGCAAAGCTTCACCGATGCCAGGTCGACAGCCTCGACAGCCCCTAGCCTGGATGGGATACGAATTCAAGTATCTGCAGCTTGTGATGATCCCAGCCAGGCAAGCCACTGTTGTCGTGTCTTAGTCTCCACTTACCAATGCAGCTTCGCAACTATGTCTTTGTGCTGCGTGTTGTAGACCTCCACAATCATCCACATAACCGCGCCCAAAGCCCAAAGCCAATTCTCAGCCTGGCGCTGGTGCTGCGGAGCCAATTTGGCCAAATCGCCAGTGCGAAGTATTCTCAAGCCGTCGCAAAAATGCGAGAGCTTTTTCGGGGAACGCTCGACTCCAAGGAAACCTCTCTCTCTCTACTTGTACGGGAGTCCAGCAGCCCTGAAAGGCTTGGAGGTGCCGTTGGAGAAGGAGATGTCGTAAGGCGTTGTCACACACGTCAATCACAAATGCAGAGTTTCATGTGCCATTCACTTCGAACCATTCGAATCCTTCAGGTGCTGTAATTCATGCCTGGGCGCCGATACATGAGCAGCGAGCTCAGAGTGAGGCCCTTTCGAGCGGTTCTTCCGGTTCTTTCAGTTCTTTCCTCGGTGCGCTGGTTAGGCTCTCCTACCATTCCGAGTATCCGAGTATACTGCTTCAGCCTCCGCAGCTGCTCTGTCTCCCCTCGTCGTGGTCGGAGGCCCCACCATGCAACTGCCATCCAGCAGCGAGTGCACGCCAGAAATGACTTGAAATGACCGCTGCGGCACTGGCGTGCAGGACCGCAGGAGTCGGATCCCTTTCGCGTGTCGCTGGAGCAGGCATGTGCCGGGCCGCTAAAGCTGATGTTCTTGAAGGCTTGGAGACCTCAGACCTTTTGGGGGAGTTTACTCGAACAAGATCAGGCTCGCCGATCCCTTGCCACTGCAGGATGATGGCTTGCAGACTTCCTTCCTAGGGCAGGGAGAACGTGGGCAGCCTGGAGCATCAGCCGCCTTAAGTGCATGGCATTGCAGAAATCGCTCGCATGGTGCCGCGGCATGCCGCGGCATCCGAGCTTGAAATATCCGATTGCATGCCCTGTCCAAGGTCACAATTGTCGCCGTTCTGTTGCCGACGCAGATGCCCGAGTAATAGCAGGTAGGATCAGCTGTTTTCTGTCCGTCATGACGATTAGATCCAATGACTCTTTGCACTTGTGCTAGGCACTCAGGCGTGCCGCATGTTGCACCCCTGGCCCTGGAAAAAGTGCCTGAATCCTATAAGAACTACACAAATTGCATAAGACGCCTTGTGGTGAGAGTCTCGAGGGTGTCAACTAAACTTAAACAAAGGTGTTGGGACAGATCGTGAGAAAGCAAAAGGGAAGCGAATTTCAGAAAGGTGTCGCCTTTGGGCGCCAGCGCAGAATCCCTTGACTTGCGTTACCGTCACCCGTACCAGTGGAAAGTCAAACTTCGCAGCTTCGATCACTCATCTTTCGTTTTTTGCAGGAGGATATTGTAGCTGGAACTGGAGCACAGCGTAGGCTGATGTACAGCAATAACTCCATTATGAAATGCAGCATCGACATCTGGTCCAAGGTGAGCCCAGCCCCACCGATCGATTGCAGTGGGGTCGAAGGCGAGCCAGTCAGATAGTTGTTGATGAGTTTCATCAGCAGGCTGTGTAGCAAGCGTCCACGCGCTCCTCATTTCTTGCCGGTCGGCCTTGTTTGCCCATTTTCTGAAGGCTGGATGCGTACAGTGATGCATCCGCCACGTGCAGCAGGCCGCAAAGGGATAACAGGATAACAGTTGTGAAGTCGATTGGCAGCCCCAGCTATTGTTAGGTGGGGCACTCTGTTTCAGGGTTCACTCCTTCGCTCAGGATTTCTGTGAAAGCCGAGTCTCCGCCTGAGGTTCGCATCGATGAATGAGATTCGTGACCTCTATGCCGCAGACGACGAATGGAAGGGTGGCTTCAAGGTGAAGCTGGCACGATTTCGCGTTTCACACCACGATTTCAAATCGCTGTTGTTTTCAGAAGACCTCCCCCCCTCTTGCCCCCCCCCCCTTCCTCACTGTGCGGGTGACAGGCCAGCACCAGGAGTCTGACGAAGAAGCACGCGGAGTGGGGATCGGCTACGTGAGGCAGATCGCATCAGTTGACGCGCGTTACGTAGATTTTATGTAAAGTGCTGCGTTGCACAGGGAGGGAACTGCCATGAACTTTCATGCCAGCGTCCACATTCCAACGTTGCATACGCTGTCGTGATGTTTGCTGGACCTTGAGGCTGATGATACCGGATCCTGATGAGCTTGCAGGACTCGTCAGATGATTCAGAGGTAATGCTTCGAGCCGAGCTGTCAGTTGCCAAGATTCCATAGCGCACGGGCGAATCGTGTACAAGACTATTCAGTTCAAGTGAAAACCTGGAGGAGGTTGCTCTTCGTGGGTATGAAGACTGCACAAAGAGGCCCGCAATCCTCCTGGGGCGAATCATTTTGTTCTGTCGCTTTTTGGTGGCGCAAAGTGTGATTTGTCGTGGGTTGAAAGGCTTTCAGTCGACTCAGGCTCTTCAACTTCGGCAGACCCGAGCACACCCCGTGGCAAACCGCGGCAATCGTCAGTGCCAAGGCTCGCACTGCGCTTGCACTGCACGCCTGTCGCATGAAGCGACTCGCGTGTGACCCTCACGAGTTTCTAAGGTGCTGGATGAGTATGCCTCGGTATGCCTCAGAATGTGTCGGTATGCCTCCGCTTCACAGGTGGCTGGACTCCTGGACACGTGGCCGTTTCCAGGCCTGTCGGCGTCATGTGTTGTCATCTGTTGTCATCTGTTGTGTCTGCGGAATGGCTTCCGAGTCATCCGTGGCATCGTGAAGGTAAGACAGCTAATTGTAAAACAGGGGGGGGGGGGGGGGGGGGGGGGGGGGGGGGGTGTGGGGGCAATAGGAGCCGCCGAGGCAATACCCTCCACGGTATCGGTTTGCAGCTGCTCCAAGCGATCGTGGGGTCCCACAGGGTGGGGGGTGGGGGTGGCTTCTGCACGGGGGGAAGGGTTGGGTTGGGGGGAAAGGCCGGAGCCTTGATTGTAGGAATGCTGCAGTTTGGCTTGTACCGACTAAGTAATCAAAAACCTTGATGGCGCGGCAGCTGCAAGGGGACACCTCTTCACTCGAAGATTGAGACGACATGTTGAGGGAGTCAGAGGAACGGAGAGACTTCCGAGGATACCAGAGAAAGGAGCGCTAGTGGAAGAGCCCCCTTCCAGTTTATGATTCCTGTTATGGTTTTATGTGCTTTCGGTTCAGGGCTCGGGGGTTGCAACTCTTGATGGCCAGGAGTTCAGCAGTGGCGCATTGCTGGAATACCGGCAGCTGACAAGGAACAGTCAGACTGGCGCGGGGCAGAGAGAGGAGCAGCGAATAAGATCGCATTCAGGCTACGACGCTACGACTACTGTACCTGGTCCCGCCGTGCCAGCTGCTGTTCGGTTGTTTATGTTGATGATGATAACCTCATGTGGAATCTCAAATTTGGAAGCCTAGTGCAAGCCTCCGACTCTCCAAGAGAGTGGCTTTCACAGCTGAAAACTATGTGGCCCTGTGCGAGACAAAAGCGCTTCGTTCCCAGCTTGCGCATCACAGGCAGTAAGGGGTGCCACGGGCCGCCTTCCTGGTGGTCATGTTCCGTCTGCAACGTCCCAGGTTGATTTTCGTGGTAGGATGAGGGATATGCGGAAACGTTAGGGTTTCAGGCTCTGGGAAGTTCACGTCCGGTTACGGTTCTGGTGTCTCGCTGTGCTGCTAGTCGTCGTGTGTCCCGGTGATACAAGCATCACGTGTTTCGGTTTCCCGCAAAAATCCTGTGTCTTTCGGTATGGGTGTCCTCCCCCCCACACTCGGTGTCGTCCGAGGGCTCTGCTGCGGTCTCGCGCTGTCACCTTCCCGCGTCCGTTATCCCAATGTCCCCATCATCGCGGGTCTCAGTTTCCCAGCGTCTGGATGCCCGGGCGTCTCTGGGAGCAAGGTTGTCTGTTTGTTTTAGTGTCTCGTCCTAGTATTGTGGGTGTGTGTGTGTGTCGCATGTTCTTTGCAGGATTGCCTGCAAGGTGGAAGCCAAGCGCCCCAAGCACAGAGATGACTCTACTAATTCATTTGCCTGCCCTTTTTCTGCTGGCTTCAGCAGCTCTGGCGACATTTTGTACTCATATGGTGCTTCGACATGGCGCTTGCATGCATGATCCTTGTACCAAGATGTTTGCTGTGCTTCGTTGCAGACAAGCACTTAGGGTGGTTGCCTTGACGCACAGCATCGTGAGCCAACCTAGTAGGCGTATACGCTGCCACGATTGTGATGTCGTCATGGCAGTTTCTAGTGGCGCGGCTGAATAGCGGGAAAGAGGCAATCCACTCACCTGCCGAGAAAAAGCGTATCGTCGCAAGGAGTGGACGGGGCTTGCGACAACGTTCTTCAGCAAACTCGTGTGCTTCGAGGCCGGTTGGTGTCTGTCCCAAGACGACGTGGGGAAACAGTGAAACAGCACCCTGTCAGGACTGTTGCACGTCGTCGAAACATGACCAAGATGAGGCGCGCCTCAAATTGTTTCGAGCATATTGACGTCATGAGCAGGATGGCAATGACAGGTGATTGTGGAGAATGTTGCTTGCTGGGGCGAGGCAGTTTCTGATGTGCCAGAAACCTCAGGACTCAGGCAATTTGCAGTGCCACTTCCGTCATTGCGATGCAGTTTTGGGATGTTCCGAGGTCGCTACTCGCTCGGCGAGTTCCTGATGAACAGCTTTCTGAAGCTGTGGCTGAGGCGGTGGATCGTCTCGTAGCATCAATTTCACCGAAATGGCAGTTTGGTTGAGGGGCTCCACTGTTGTAGGGAGCCGGCAATCGGGATTCGTTGATGTTGATGTGTTTATTTGCTGGAGGAGCCAAGCACTCCACGATGCTCGGTCACTGCGGCCCATGTCCTAGAAACCCCATCAACGGTATGTCCTGCAGAGGACTGGGCTGCGGCTGCGGGAGTTCTCTAATTATTTCTGTCCTAGGCGCAGAATTCCCTACTTTTTCTTTGTTCAGGAGGTTGCGCATGATGACCTGCTTGAAGAAGACGAGCTTCTGCAGGGGCCTCTCTCACCAAGCGGTCATAGTAGCGACAGTACTTTTAATTGTAACTTCCGGAGCAAGTGAGCAGATGCAATCACATGATCATGCAACGGTCGTGGTCCCGTAGCAGTGACACCATCAAGGAGCGATTCGGGCGAGGACGTGGCCGAGTCGAGTGCCATCAAGGCAATGGGGTGTTTGCAAGCTTCTTTTCAACGCAAATGCTGTGTTTGGCCTTTGGTCAAAATTTGCTCTACTCTGTAAGGCACAGACCCAGGACATGGAGTGTTTTCCTGGGCTGCTTGGCAGCATCTTGGCACCCTGTTTCCTTCCGATGCGCGATTTGCAAGTTGCTGCCGGAGAGGTTTTCGACTCAGAATTCAACATTCTCAGCTTGTGTGCATCACCTGAGAAGCCTGGAGAACTTGCGTGACGCAAGTCCTTCTTTGCTAGACCTTGAAGCGCGACCTATGCCGTGAGGCATAGGTCGACATTGACCAAGGATGAGGAACCTCATTTCCGATTTTCTCGATGCCAGCGCCCAAGAGGGATTTACATTTTGCCAAAGACGACCTGTTTCCCCTTAGGCCCAACATTGTAACATTCTTGAGCGAAACCGCCAAGTACTGGGAAGCAACATGATTGTAGGTCTGTGGGTCTAGGCCAGGCGGAAGGTACGTAAGAATATATTCCATGTACGGCAAGTCGTCCAGCTTATCGCCAGCATACCGGGTTTGGGCGTGATGAGAAGTTGCGTTGAGGGACATCACGTCATGATACATCTGCCAAAAAGAGCAGAGTGTCTCGTACAGCAGATGCTTTCATGGGTTGTTATACCGGAGCGTTCTGAGCTGCTTCTAGTTCTAGATGGCTGCAGCAAGCAGTTTCCGCGTGCCATTCAGAAGACGTTCATTGCTTGCGCCACCGAACATCCAGGCGAGAGACTTTACCGCACTCCGCACAGCCAGCCGGGTATTTGCAGTGAGGGTTCCTTGGCAGCATTGTAGTTGTCACCCGAAGACCTTCTGCCCATTTTGATAGCTTTGGAAGAGGACCTTGCTGAACATCTCATTGCAGTGATCCAGCCGGAGAGGCCGCCGACCGCACGTGACGCATCCCTCCCTCAGATTGTGGCTCTTTGTGCTGCAGGCCTGACATGCTCGCCGACCTTAGGCTGTATGCCCTTCGTCAGATTCCGCCGGAGCCTCGTCACCAATGCTGCTCGGCCGATTGTTGATGCTCAGGCGGCTGAGCAACCAGATTTCTAGTTCCTAGGTGCACAAGCACAGGTGCAAAATTGATACGAAGAACCGCATGACCAGGCGAATCTGAGATTGTAACGGTTTACGCCCTGCATCGTACTGTCAGGCCTGCATTCGCTGTTCACGAACTTGGAGTCTTTCTGGATGCGTAGCCCAAGCATCATGCTGGCTTTCGTGCAAACTTTGCAGAGACATTGTCGAGAGGAAGGAGACGTGGGAAGAGAGATGCGGTGGGTGATGTGCACTTTCTCCGGGCAGGCTTTAGTTTCCAAACGGAAAGATGTTCGACATGCTGTCGTGAAGAACATCCTCTGCTGGCTGGCGAGCAGCAACGTGGAAGACGTTAAGTGCGCATGCATGTGCTTGTCGCTTTGCAGCAGTCCTCGGGACCTGGGCCGATTCCATGCAGAGTGTGTCGCAGCTCTGGCGGCAGCGCATGGAGCGCAGCTAAGTCGAATCGAATTCGGACAAAGAGCCATGGCAGTCCATTGCCCAGCACTGCTCACTGCCATGCTGCTGGGCAGCCCTACTGAATCCCGCCGTTCAGAATGGTAGCCGTGTGATGACTGCTACACTGCCGGGGTATGGGCATGCTTTGCAGCATTCTTCCGCTTCATCGGCCACTCCAATCCGATTCATCCAGATGAAGTCGCCGCAGTGCGCTGCCGTAGGCTGCAGTGGTCAGTCGTCATTGCGGCGCGAAGCTGGTATGAAGTCGAAGCAACTTGCTTCCCAAAGCAGAGCGCCTCTCATCGCGCAAGGCGCTCTCATGCTTTTCAATCGTCCCTTCAGGAACTTGGAGCTTCCGGTTGAGGGCTTGAGCTTAGGGTTTCGGTCAACCAACAGTTCTTCGATTTTCAAAGATTCCGGTACACTTTGGTACTGGTCCCCTTCATGGTTGGTTTTCGAATACATCAAGACCTGGTTGTACAGTCGCACCCTGGAGGAGAATGAAGAGCTCCTGCACGGTGTCAGACCCGCTTTGAAAGAGCTGTGTGGAATCTTCAGCTCGCATTCAGCTCGCGCCCCAGCCTTTCGCAGTCGCCTGGCAGATTCAGCGGATCTGCCACAACAGTGAAGCAGAAAAAGTTTTCTGCTTTCGCTCGGAAGGGAGGAGGGAAAGAGTGAGGAAAGAGATAGGAAGAGAGAGGAAGGAACTGAGCAATAGAAAGGACAACACGGCTGGAGAGGAAGGGCAAAGCAAAGCGAGATCATGTGGGCTACCGAACATCCTCACAGTCCCTCTGGAAAGAGCTCGAACCTGAAACTCTAGCACTCTAGCCCTTTTCCAACCCTGAGCCCGACATTCTAAACCCCCTGCTCTTGACGCAGTACTACAGAGGCGATTTATTCATAAGACCACTCTTGAAAAAGCCTTCCAAACATGGTGTGCGCGCAAGAACGCGCAAGGGCGGGCGCAAGAGCGCGCAGGGGCATGTTTAAGGTATCTATACAAACACAAAGCCATCTACATGAGAATCGTGGTAAACCCGATTGGTTTTGAAAGGAACGCGGTTCACCAAGCACGCCTGTCTGGGGTTCGGGTATTGATTCAGACTCAGTGACTGAGCTTGGCGACCTCTTAAGGGTGCGGTTGCAGGCTTTGCAGCTCAGCAGAGCCTGCCATGGTCTCGCTGAGGGATCCGCCTACCCAACAGCGGCCTGGTTTAGGGTTGATGCTTAACCCTATCTGTACGGCTTGATAGCCCACCGGGGTCCTGTATCGGCAAATCTGGCGCAAGAAACGCGCAAGGGTTGCTCAAGCCGCGCATCGCCATGAAAGACATGGGCACAGATGCTAGAGGCAAAAGTCACAGGGTAGTGTGCTGCAATGGATGCCATGCGTAGACTAGCGCTGCAGGGAGCCTGCCACAAACCTAAGACCACATCCGCGCCTGCGAGCTTCAAGCCTGAAATCCTGCCTGAGACTTCAGCCCACAACCCAAGCCCTTTTCAAGCTGCCCAGTTTGGTCGCCCTCGAGGACGAAAGGGTTTAGGGTTCAGGGTTTTGGGTTTATATGTAGGGTTTAGAGTTTAGAAATTAACATAAGATAGTATGCAAAAACCTGGTGTGCGCGCAAGAAGTGCGCAAGCGCGCGCAAGGGCGGGCGCAAGGGGTTTTTTTTGGTAGCTCATCGGAACAAGAATATCGATCAACCCGCACCTCAAGCTGAATGCAGAAAGCCCCTGCGCCAGAGTGAAACAGGAGCTTTGGGATTTGACTCTACCTTGCTGCGCGCATTATGTGGCTCCAGCTGGCATACAGCGGGGAAGCTTTTTGCAATGCAGCTGCAATGGGCACTGGACGCTTTGGAGGTCTCAGTCAGGCTTAGCAGAGTTGCCCAAGTGCTGCACTTTGCGTGTCACCAGGACTCTCAGAGCAGCGATGCCCTTGAAGAGGCGGGTGTTCAGTTTGGAGAGCATGTTTTTTGGCATTTTGCGTCCACCCGCACGGCTAAGCCCTATTCGCGTCTAGTCACTTATTAGTCTATGGTTTATGGACCCAGGATAGCTTGTGCACCCCCCTGGCGCTGTGACATGACGAACAACCCAGGCGTTCTATATTCTGAGTCATCCTGCTGCGGGGTTGAAGGTGGCTGTCATCGACTCGTTGCCGAAGGAGGTACGACAAGTTCACGCTTGAGTGCGATGGATCTTCTGGCATGGATGTGCACGCGCTGTGATCTGCTAGGTTCAAAGCATTATCTTGACTCTGATCATTGAACTTGATGTGTGCGACCCTCAGCTGCGCGCCACATGTGGAAGATGGGCCAGCGCGCTCCTTCCTTCAGGTACCTTCATGCATATGATGGTGAGCTCGTGGGTGAGCCCGAACCTGAGTGGGCAATCTTTGTTGGCGTCTGTTCGGCGTTTGTTTTTGACACTCTTATGTGTTACGTCAGATTGAGTCATATCTTATACAATTTACAATATACGTGGTGAACTCGCCGAGCGTCGAAGTCGTCATTCACAATTCGAGTGTTTGGCGATGGCGCGACCCAGGTGTAGCTACCCAGTGTGGCTCTACATGTACGATTTGACTTCTGGAGCGGCAGCACAAGTGTCGCCCTGGCTCCTGGGGTCTGCCATTAAGGAGCGGTGGTTGAACGCGTCATCTCGTGACTTTCGTGTTTCGTGGTTTTTGCTTGTAGATGTATTCTCACAGGGGATCTGGCACACGTCGATTGTGGTGGACTGGGGCGACGTGAGTGCGGGCCTTTGGGGAGCTTGGGAGTTGAATGCCGTGTAGATGCAGAGCCACTGCCAAGTTGTCGAGTACTACTGGGATGACGTTCCTCATTGTCTCTGGGGCGCGGAGCTCCTGACTCAGAGCCGCTGTAAGGGCAAGGCCATGCAAGCTGTTCCTTTTTGTTTCTGTAGGTGACACCCTGGGGACGAGCGGACGAGTTTTCGTGCACTCACTTCGTTCACTTACAAAACCCCCATAAGATATACGGGCTAGTAATAATGTACTCTCTGGACACAATACGCCCACACTCGCAGGCTATCCCATGTTCTCTCGTTCACTGTCTTCGTTCACATAATTCATGCACTTCATGCGTACACTTTGTTCCTTATAAGTGCATTTATTATGTTCTCTTCGTAGTACTAATAATATATCCTAGAGGCAAGGGTCACAGGGTGCGGTTGTTACTGCCTCAAAGCCCTGGAAACTAACTCCTTAGGAGCTAAATCTCTTGGGAACACATGAATGAATCCTGTATAAGCCTGTTAACGAACCTCACTTGGTTGAGCACGATCCGGTGCCCATGGCCACTTGTCCTCCTTGTGTGCACTGCTTGCGTGTTTGAGTAACTTTTTGTTGTCGTTCTTGGATGTGGGCCATTAGGTGATCAACCTCACCATGGAGGATGAGGTGAAGGAGGAAGAGGAGGAGAGATGGATGTGGAAGGTATATATGTTGGAGGGGATCGTGTTTTATAGGGTTGGTATTGCAGGAAGGCGATCATGATGCTGTGAGCTGTAGTTACATGTTGTCAGGACAGCCACAACTTCCTGGAGAATGATGCCAGTGACTTAGAGTTGGTGGTCTATATTTTGCCAGAATCTGTGTTTAGCTTTATACATATATACGTGTGTCTATTTATGTCTTTTTTTGTTGAGAATTCCTTGCTTGTTTGAACTTCAGGAAACTCGCTGGGATGGGATGTTGGCTGTGTCTCGACTTGAAAAAAACATCGGAGCTTCCCCTCATTTCGGGATTTGGTGTGGTGCTGCTTGCAAGGAACAACTGATGGTCTTCGGTGAGGACGCTTGGCCTTCTTGTTGAGCACGATTTACTCGTTTTTCCTTGGCGCTGTTACAGGAGCCAGCCGTGCTCATGGAGCTGGCTCCTGTGGCGGCCTGTGGCTCATTCGTCTCTTCGTTTACCTTGATGCTGATCCAACGAAGTGGTGATTTGGGTGTCTTTTTTTTTTTTGGGGGGGGGGTGGGGTGAGGAGATGGCTTCGGGCAGCAATGACGTCCCGGTGTCTCGGTTTGCGTGGTTTATTGGGGCATTTGGAGCTATGGTCTGTGATACCTGTAAGGTCCTTATCCCTGCGGATGATCAGGAGTCGGAGGAGTGGCTTCTGAGAGTTTGTATCAATGGTTGGTTCGAGGTCGCGTGTGTCATGAGTTCGGTTGGGTTGCCTGCACGTCCTAAACTGCTTCGGGAAACTCGCTGGGGGCACTGAATCCGGGCATGCCCGGAGGTTCTACAACGATACACTGTCTGGTCAAGGTGATTTCCGAGTACAGGCAAGACACTCGGCAATGCTGGGCCGAACCGTGTCAAGCTACCATGCTGTTCCAATGAGGTCAAGGGAGAGAGGGCCTTACAGTCAGAGGCTGCTTGCACTTCGTGCGCCCTCTTCACATGCTTCCAAGCCTTCAAGTCTGCTTTGTGCATTTTCAGCTGGCGCTTCAGGTGCTGGGCTGGCCGTGAGAACAGCCCTCCTTCCAACGGATACGCCCTAGCCAGGATACGAAATCTGGACTGCCATCGTAGGCATAGGACTGGCATCCGGACGACCATGTTTGAGGAGCTCCACTAGGCCAACGGCCATGGTAAATCAGGCCCCCTCTGCAGTTTGGCTTCGCTTTGTGAGAGCCTTGTATATGCCACGCGTCTGAGCCAGGTCCTTGTGAGCAAGCTCTTCCGTCGAATGAGCAAGATATATATGATTGGGCAGGTGACTTGCCTTAGTGGTCAGGATGGCCGCGTGGCCTCTTGGATCTTTTGCCTTTCTGTATCTTTTTCGTATGCTTTCCGAGATCCGCAGCAAGATGATGGACTGCCCAACCAACGCAACTGATCCAGTTCGCTTCTGAACGTATTCTACTCCAAGATTCCAAGACTAAAACGCGACCCTTACTTTCGTGCTCCAGCGCAACAAAACCTGCGCAGCACGGCGCTTTTGATCCGGTATCCTGACGCTTCCTGCTGCCTCTCAGAAAAAAGCGTGTACCTGAATGTCACAATAGCCGGACAGTCAGTGCCGACTCTTGGTGGCAGCACCAACTTGCACACCCGTTGGAGAAGTGCTGCAACATCCTCACAACGGCTGCGGGGCATTTGAGCTCTCGCTGTAGCTATGTGGCGTGCCGAAGCACAGACCACGTGCCGCTGGTCTGCACTGGCTTGCTTGATGTTGCAAGGGAGAGAAATCCAGACAATCGCACTCAAGCTTCGGCAGACTTAATCTGGCTAAGGGCAGTTGCTGAGAGCACTCTTCTGTGGGTGCGAACCGCAGCCGCAGCGGCCACAGCTAGCACAGCAACAGCTGCAACAGCAACAGCAGCAACAGCAGCAACAACAACCACAGCAGCAACAGCAGCAGCAGCTAGAGCCACAGCGACGGCAGCACCTGGTCCTTCCAGGGCTGCAGTGGCGATGGAAGAACCCCTTGAGCAACTTGTCGGCAAGTTCCCGGGGCCCGTTTCGGACAGTTTCTGAGCCTTTTGGGGCCCGGACAGTTTCCGAGCCTTTTTGGGCTCGTCCCGAACGGTTTTGGTTTTGGGTTCCTCCCGGACAGTTTCTGATCCTAGAGCTGTTTCAGGGTACGGTTTGAATCTCAGGATGCATGTATTCGCTTGCATAGTCTCTTCTGACGTGTTTTCTACTGTGGATGGTCTTGTTCCACCCCGCCCGCAGAAGTACTGGATGCTGGCCCTTTCGGGACCGAAAGGTTCAGAGAGAGGGTGATCGACGTTCGCAGACATCTTTCCGGGCGTATCCTTTGACAGCCAAACCGAGGCCCAGGAACTTCACCTTGATGCCGGGGCGATGGACGTACCTTTGCAGCCTGGAGTTTTTTGGCAACGCAGCTTGGATGCCACGCATAGACGTGTCTGTTGGTTTGCTGATATGGCATGCTGCTGGGAGTAGCCAGCAAGCTTTAAGTTGCTCAGACGTGAGGCCGCTGAATCCGTCATCGCAAGTGCTGCCGCCGCTGCCCTACCTCGGAATATCGATTGCAAGATGCCGGCTTCGTGCACTTCCAAAGTTCTTTAAGCAAGGAATCGATGTTTGATGCGGGCGCGGGCGTGAACAGCTAGGCACACGCGACAAAACCAGCGCAAGGCCACCACACCCACGTCTCTGGTTCAGCATGCTGACAGGTGAGCCAGGGCGACATTCTGTGTGCGAATTACGACTATTGGTTCAGCCACCTCCGACTGATCATAGGAGAAATGCACCGAGTCAGTCAGAGTGAAGCCCATGAACTGGTGAGACCTTCACTGACCTTCACACAGCTTGTGAGTTTTTAATGCTGCCTTTATTGTGCTTTGTTTTGCAAGGGGCTCCCTGTCCGAGACGGTTTTGTGCTCGTCCCGACGATGGAGTGCACAGATCGCGTCGAAGACATGAAACAAATCCCAGTTTTTGCGGCTGCCTGGTAAGATGTTGGCTCTGGCAGGCTTCCTCTACGCAATGCAGGTGGTGGATGAATCGACTTTCACGCGTCTGGGTGAGTTGGACATCGATGATCCGCTGGACATGAAGCTGGATGGCCTGGGCGCATTCGAGCCGTGCACCCCTTGCAGCGTCGGGGCATGGCTGTCGTCGACAGCCGTTGCTCCGGCAGAGGGACACAAGGCTCTCTGTGGCGTGATGGATCTGGAACACACGTGGAACTGGACGACTGCCGTGAACGCATTTCTTTGTCCTGCTCAGATCTGTCCTCAGTTTGCTGCCAGCGTGCTGCGCTTGGCCAGTGCTTCGGTGTCAAAACTTTTATTCGAGTTTTGGGCGCAGGGCAAACTGCCCGGATGAAGCAAAGGCTGACTGGCAGTCGGGGCCTGAGAGGACCCGCTTTGGCTTTGCGGTGTGCGTCTGAACGATTGACAGGTCTGGGTGGATCTGCGCTGGCCCTTGCCTTGTGTACTGGCACAAGCCAGCGCAATCGCCAATCTTGCTATTGAAGCCTTCGAAAACTTTTCCATGGGACCTGAGGGATGCCTGCGTAAGGCCATCTTACATCCAGCGGTCGCCTGGTGCTTTTCACAGTATGCGCGGCAGACGCAGTGCCTGCCTGCAGGTCGGGATGGACCATTGTCGGGGAAAGCACCGGCGTTGTTCTTACAGTGCGCTTTACGAAGTTTTCGGCTGGAGCACTTCTGGCAAAGCTTCGGCGTGCAAAGGCTCGGCGTGCATCTGCCCATACTGCGCTGCGCAGCGCGCATGTTGCTCTTGCCTTCTTCTTGGTTGCTCACTGCCCATGGCACATGCGAGAGCTCATAAGACTGGCACAGGCAAGCAAGTACATCAGCATGCATCGACTGCTGAGGCTGATGAAGACTTATGGCGATTTATGGCGATCCAGGCGGGATCTGAGATGATGCTCCTTGCAGGGTCACGAGCTCAAGCTCAGCAGCGAAACTAGCCAATGACTGCTTCGCTGTCTCTGCTTCCTGACAAGATTACCCCGAACTCATTAAGCTACAGGTCCTTGAATCCTTGTAATGCTACATTGGGAAGTTTGCAGCATGCCTTCTCCTTGGAATACAACTGCTTCCGAGTCTATTGACGATGATCTGCCAGGACCAGAGGTCAGCAATTTAATTGGCCAAGCCGGCCAAGCAAGAGAGAGTCAAAAGACACCGTAGCTTGAGCCTTGGCATGTTGGTTTCCAGTCTTGAGTCTGATGACATCTGGGCCCTTGATTTCGAGGCAACCGGAAGGAAGGGGAGCGGGGACAAGGGAACATAAGGGGGCTACGGAAGCTACAGGATTTGGGGTTTTTGGTCTTCTGCAGTGAGTTTTTTCTTGGAGGATGGCCGCATTTAAGGGGGCTCAAAAATCAGAAAGGGAGAGTGCTAAGGTGACTCAGGTCGCTCCTGAGAAAAATCAAGCCGTGGATACCTGAAGTAGCACGAACAAAAATATTTATATAAATATCTATACACACAGTTGGCAGACTTGCGCCGCAGTGGGCTCCCGAGCATTTGCAACCTGTCACAGCGGCGCCATAAACGGGCGAAGGCAACACCACATAGCATGACGTAGCGCAGCTGCACAGAGTTGCGTGGACCAGGAGTTGAGGTCGCCGTGTGTTGCTATCATGGTGTCCCGGCAGAAAATGCTTTGCACGGCTGGGCACCAAGCACGAACTTCCATGAACACGTTGGATTGAGAGCCCCGCACCGCTTCAACAGCTCGTTCGCTGCTCGACTGTTCTCACAAGCACAAGACGGCTGTGCTTCAAGCTTAGCCACGCCAGAACAGGTCGGACCAATGCGTCGGATGCGTTCACGCCTCAACCTCGGGATTGAGAGTTCGCCAGCGGCGCTGTCCAGATGCGCCGTCTAGGTTTCGTGCTGCCGCAGATGGGCGAAATCTAGAGGATATCATGACTCTCACTGCTTGTCTGGTGATAATTGGTGTCGCGCAGGTCGTGGAGTCCGTGGGGTCCGCTGGCCCTTGTCATGGCTGCTTTCTTGCGGGCACCCAAGGGACCTTTGTCAGGTTGCATCTTCCCTGGATGACATCGAATGCTTGGCAGATCTGTATCAGTTTTGAGCGGGAAGCCTGCAGAGCTTCGCGCATGACCATCGCCGTTGTGCTGGGACTCTCCTCCGCGTGTCTTTGACCAATCCCTCATATTCGAACCACATCTCTGCCAGTGATATGTCCTGCCATGTCTTGACTGCGAGGTCCTCGTCCAACCTCACGGGTGCCGGGGCCTCATGTGCTGTGTTGCTTCGAACATGCCTTGCCGCTTGCAACAGAGGGTTGCCATAGATGTCTTCTACGGGGTGCCTCGTGGGAGGCCTGGAGTGGGCGCTCCAAGCAATTCCTTCAGGACTCTTGACCTGTGCTTTTCCGTGCTTGGCAGGAAGCCGCCCTCAAACTCCTAGTACGCCATGCTGCACAGCATCCCAGTGCCATAATGTCGCCATGCTTTTGCAGCTCAGCGCTGCGCCCAAAGGGGACTCAGGAGTGGTGCCAGCATGCTCAGCACAAGCTCGCGCGCATCAGGTTGCGGCATGCTCTGCCAGGAGATATTGAGGATGTGCCCCATGCGTTGCGCGAGCCTTATTCTTGAGCTGCAGGAACGTGGTGCTAGCGACAGAACCCACAAAAGCAGACTGGGTATCAGATATCGGTCTCTGCTACTAGAGCAGTTCTGCTCTGTAGCAGCACCCCCCCACAGCAACGACAGGTAGCTTCGACCGTAACGCCGTAAGGTGTAGAGGGGGGGGTTCGCACATTGCGAGGCCTCGTGTCAAAAGCACAGATCAGAGCGGGGAATGCCCCGAATGTCGATTTCAAAGGAAAAGACGATGCCATCAGAACATGTGCTTTGCTGCTGCCCTCCTTCTGCGAGGCACGCTGCCACTGTACGTTGAGCTGGCTTAACACTCGGAGATAATGCCCCTCGCCGCCAGCCGCAGCCTTAAGGCTCCCTAGTGTGCGGATGTGCACAGTTTTATTCTTTGGCTTGAGTCCTGCTAGTCTGGCGATCCGAAGGTATGATCGGGAACCTGACAGGGACAAGGAATCCTATCTGGCAGGGCTACTGATCTGTTCAGATCTTTTCGGAATGCTGCTGTTACTGCATGCTACGGCATCTTACTGTAGCTCACTCATCGGCTTCAAGCCCAAGACCCGCGCACAGTTTGATGCAAGCGGAATTGTCCGTCGACAGTTGCGCACCCTGCTTTTTGCATGTGCTGCCGTTGGGCAATCCGTAGACTGTGGACAAGCCTTGCCCCTAAGCTCCTAAACCTATACCGTAACGCCTATAACCCTTGAATCCCAAGTTCTGTTTCAACGCCTGCCAGGACTTGCACACTGGATGGACGCAAGAAAGCTTCAAGGTGGTTGAGCTGGCAGATCACAGGGTCAGCTGAGCCGTCGGAGGTCGGGGCTCTCATGAGGGTTTTTTTTTTTTTGGGGGGGGGGGGGGGGGGGGGGGGGGGGGGGGGTTGTATGTTGCGGCACATACGCTTCTTGGAGGCTTGATTGTAGGAATGCTGCAGTTCGGGTTCTACTGAAGGCCTCTCTTTGACCAGGTAGTCAAAGACCTTGACGGCGCGACAGCTGCAGGGGACACCTCTTCACTCGAAGATTGAGACGACATGTTGAGGGAGTCAGAGGAAACTTATTTGCTTTCGGGTTCAGGGTTTGGGGGTGTGTCACTCTTGATGGCCAGGAGTTCAGCGGTGGCGCGCAGCTAGAAAACCGGCAGCTGGGAAGGAACGGCCAGACTGGCGTGGGCAGAGGGAAGAGCAGCGAATAAGTGCGCGTTCGGGGTGCTGCGACACCACGACTACTGGTCTTGGTCCCGCCATGGTTGTCTATGTTGGTGATGATAACCTCATGTGGAATCTCAAATTTGGAAGCCTAGGCTTTCACAGCTGAGAAATGCTTGCAACTTGGGGGGACTCCTATGGTCCTATGGCCCTATGCGAGAAGTCTTCCCAAAAGAGCTCGCGCATCAGAGGCAGTAAGGGGTGCCAGGGGCCGCCTTCCTGGTGGTCATTCTCCGTCGGCAACGTCCCAGGTTGATTTGCGTGGTAGGATGAGGGAGGCAGGAAAACGCTAGGGTTTCAGGCTCGTTTCCTCAGGGTGTTCCGGTCCGTCCGAGTCCCAGGGCTGTGCTGCGGTCTCCCGCTGTTGCCTTCTCTCGTCCGCTATCCCATGTTATCCCAGTGTTTCCATCATCGCGGGTCCCGGTTTCGTAGTATCTCGACGCCCTAGTGTCTGTTGCAGTGTCTCGGTACTTTGCTGTCTCGATGTCCTAGTATTGTAGGTATGTGTGCTGTGTGTGTGTGTGTGTACGTGAATAGACAGGTGGAGCCTCATAGGCAAGTCTGGCAGCAGATGTGCCCTTTAGAACTAGCCAATCTGCAGGGATTGCCGGCTCGAGAAGCGAGTGCGCGTCAGTGAGGTGTAACTTGTATGGGGATGCACTCACTCCTCTGATGTTCATCCAGCCTTTTCAGGAGTTCTTCAGATGCAGACCACTTTCTCCTCACACACGCACTTACTAGTGGATAGCCGGAACATAGGGAGAGGCAGAGGCGGGCCGGTCTCCGACGTGCCGGAATCTCAGCAACGCAAGAAGTCCCAGTTTTGCAATTAGCCTGGCCTGCGTCAGGCAAAAACTTGCCAAAAACTCTACATATTGGACTCTGTCAGAGCTGCTCCAGTCATCCATCGGCACCGGGTGCTAGTGAGCTTGTGGCAAAGCTGAGGTCAGTGGGTGATGTTGATGCCACGATCTAAGTTTGCCACTGACCTTTGAATTTGTGCTGCGTGGTTGTGCCTCTGCCACCTGAGGCCAGTCCAGAATATCTGCTTCCGAGGCTTCAGCCAGCTGCTGAGGTGCCCGCAGCGCTCCATCTTTGGCCCCTTTTTGGTGCACTCAAACTGCAGAGTGCAGGCGTGCCGAAGATGACGGCAACAAGATCCTAGTCCCAGCTGCAATCGGCTCAGCTTCTGTTGCATTTATGGCTGCGTTTATGGCTGTTGGCGCACCCAAAGTGGCAGACCTTGCGCAGGACGATGGCTGTCAAGAAGAGCTTGACCGGACGATTTGGCGGGGCGTCTGCCCACGCGGACAACATGCCGTGTTGAAATATTGATTGGTTGCAGGCCCAGGATATCCTTGTGGGCTTGGTGTGGCCAACATGGCTGTACAGGCCTGCAGAATCAGGGCAGATCGTTTCAAAAGCAGCCTGCCCTGCGCTGTTCCCTGACAGAGGCCCAAGGCATGAGAAGGTTTCTGCTCGTGTTGGTGGGGAGACGCCCAGCAGTTCTCCCAGCGGAAAGCAGCTTGGCATCCGCAAAGAATTCGCGCAAAGGGATGGCTTAATCGGCTAACGCTGGATTGCAAAGCGCAAACCAGGTCGTCTGGCCGACTCGAGATACCAGTCGATTCTTCAAGCTTCGGTGAGGCCACGCTCTCAAGCCCGCTCTGCAGCCCGCTTTTGACATTGTTTGTGTCTTGCTTCCATGTCAAGGGGGCGGCGAGCCCCTGCGAACCGTGGATGCACGGACTTTTTCAGCCGCTCGCAATCATCTTCAAAGTGCTAAGCATTCGCAAAGTGTGATGGCTGAAGCGGCTTAATCGGCTAACGCTGGATTGCAAAGCGCAAACCAGGTCGTCTGGCCGACTCGAGATACCAGTCGATTCTTCAAGCTTCGGTGAGGCCACGCTCTCAAGCCCGCTCTGCAGCCCGCTTTCGACATTGTTTCTGTCTTGCTTCCATGTCAAGGGGGCGGCGAGCCCCTGTGAACCGTGGATGCACGGACTTTTTCAGCCGCTCGCAATCATCTTCAGATTGCCAATGTGAGTGATTGCCTTCGGCACCATTCTTGGCAAACTGGCAAA